TTATATGTGTGTGGGGTTGTATATGGAATATATACATTTTTGTCATTTTTTCTAGGTATTTATATTGGTTTCATCTCAGAAGAGGGTGATAGGAATGTAGCTAAAACCTAAAATGGAAGATATGCAGCATAATCTTAAATGAAGCATAGTATAGTACTAGATTTTACTGTATTCCACACAAGATCATGGAAGAATTTTCCCAGACTACAGCTAGGACAGCTGACCCAAGGGATATTCCATACCATATGATGTTATTCTCAGTAGTAGAAGCTGTGGGGAAGGACAAGGAAAGGGTGGGGTCTGTGGTTATCAAATCTGTTTTCCTACATCAGCACTGTGTGGGATGATGCCCCGTTTTCCTGGAAATGGCTGAACATTTGCTACCAATAGAAAACAGTGAATGCATTCTTTGTTTTGCTTTGCTAGTAGCTGCAGCTTTTGCTTTACCTATTCAACTGGTTTTCTATGAGCCCATAAGTTTTCTAGCTTTTACGCTTTCAATTGTCTCAGTCATCCCACTGCAGGGGAGTGAGTGAGCAGCTGTTTCGGTGTTCAGCTGCCTACTGGGATTAACTTAGATCAGCTGAAAGACTGGGTTGTGAAAGTTTACGAAGGCTGAGCAGAAAGCTATGATCCAGTTTTAAAGAAACTGACTGTCTTTTACACTCTCTGAGCATGAAAAAGAATCTCTTGCTGGGGTTCAGTGTGTGTTTCGGGTTTTTTAAGCATACTTCTTGAGGACAGCATGGAAATAAAATGCTTTATGTCTTTGCGCTTTACCCACTGCTTGGTTTAACCAGCTTAGGTAATGCTACTTCTACCTTTTAGGAAGATAAGAAGTCATTTAATGAACTGATGGTCTGAAGTTGAAAGATATTTTTGTCTATATGGCAAGTATCGGTTATAATAACTTCTAAGATGCCTCACTAAAGATTTTAAATTCTGTTTTTACATTTGCTGCTCAGAGATTCTTAAAAACATCCTATTGTTATAGCAGAAGCTAATTATACTTGTTATCTACCCCTTGCCCCAGATTGAAGATCCAGGTTGCTTTTGGGTTACTATGAAAGGATGTGGGCCTTTCGTAGTTGATGAAGGGACATATAAAAAACTGAATGATGAAATGAATCAGTTCTACGATAAATCTTGCAAAAATGTGGATGAAGTAAGGCCAGTAACGGTGGAAGAAGGCCAGGTAAAATCACTGCTATGCTGTGCAGGTAGAAATAATCTGTTACTTACATTGGTCTGGGTATGAACTATCCAAGATACACATTAATCTTTTTAAATACTGCTCTGTAGAACAGTAGGTAATGGCATTTATGTGGGTTATATTTTCTTATCTGTAAACTTCAGAATTACATAAGCTATGATGCTTGCATTTTAAAAACAAAATTGATGGCTGTATAATACTATATTCTTGCCTCTAAAAAAATCTTTGAGTGTGATTTTTCTCCACTTACAAGAACCTGCTGTCTTGTTCTTTTTCAGGTTTGTGTGGTTTTCAGTGAGGAACTCAAATGTTGGTGTAGAGCAGTAATTAAGTCAGTCATGTACTGTACGGATCATTATCAAATGGAATGTTTCCTTGTGGATTACGCAAAATACATTTTTGTTAAATCAAAGGAGTAAGTGTTCAGGTTTATTTACACTGTCACTGAAATACTTTTGTTAGTTAATGCATACAGATAGTATTTATTTAGATGGATAGTGCCAAGGCTTTGGTTTAATTGAAGTGTGGGTTGGCTTCACAGGAAACTGCTAACAGTATGATAGGCCCTTGCAAGTGTGGTTGCAGGCCAGTCTTTGTTTTGGGAATTTGTAAAGATGCTTTCTATGGTAGGTTTTGAGGTTTTTTTTAAAGATCTGAGATAAAAACAGTGTCAGCTTGTTACAACTGAAATATATGTTTGTTGGTTAACATTAGCTATGTGTATTCTTCTCCCTTATAAAATGATTATGTATAGCTGAGCCAGCTTTTGATCTAGACAAAAATACGTGGGTTTTGTAACTTGTTTACTAAGAGCTCACAGTCTGTCTTGTGGTGGTGAAAAAAAGTGAGTTCTCACACGTTCTGTGTTTTTAATGGAACCACCATGAAACCAGCTGTTCCTAAAACCTTGAAAAATGCGTTTTAAAAGGTAGCTATTCCAGCTCTTGGCTAGATTTAAAGCTAATTTCCCTAATAAAATATGCAATTTTGAATACAGAAAGCTTCACCAAAAGTTTTTCTGTAGCATTCCACGAAATTAAGAAACTTATATGAAGTATTTCGAAATAAATCTGAAATTAAATAATGCTTTTGAGTTGAATGTTGCTGTATTAGAAAACAATTTGACAATGCCATGAGTTTAAAATATGTTGAACTAGAAGTAAACGTGATACTTGCTGCTTTCTCATTGTAAAAAAACAAAAAAAAAGTTACAGACAGGTGTAAGTATATGTTTTAGTTTTGGTGTTTGTTTTTTTTTTTAAATAATTTTACATGGATCACTGCGTATGGTGTGTTGCTGGTTATTAAAGGTCTCCAGCCAGACTAAGTGTAAGCGGCGAGATTAATGTAGAAACATAGAATCATAGAATCGTTCGGGTTGGAAAGGACCTTAAGATCATGTAGTTCCAACCCCCCGCCATGGGCAGGGACACCTCACACTAGACCAGGGCACCCAAGACTCTGTCCAGCCTGGCCTTGAACACTGCCAGGGATGGAGCATTCACAACTCCTTTGGGCAACCCATTCCAGTGCCTCAGCACCGTCACAGTAAAGAACTTCCTTGTATCGAACCTGAACTTCCCCTGTTTAAGTCTAAACCCCACTACCCCTTGTCCTATCGCTGAAGTTCCTGATGAAGAGTCCCTCCCCAACATCCTTATAGGCCCCCTTCAGATACTGGAAGGCTGCTGTGAGGTCTCCACGCAGCCTTCTCTTCTCCAGGCTGAACAGTCCCAACTTTCTCAGCCTGTCTTCATATGGGAGGTGCTCCAGCCCCCTGGTCATCCTCATGGCCCTCTTCTGGACTTGCTTCAGCAGCTCCATGTCCTAGTGACAACTTTATAGAGGATAAATTCTTCAGGAAAATGAGCACAAATGCAAAAGAGTGTGTATAGTAGAAATGTGTGTATGAAACAGTGACTTCTGGAAAGTAAAATCTGCTCTGTAAAATGAGATTATTTCCACTTTGGTTTTAAGCATTCGAGTTGCTCTGGAAGCATTTATGCAGCTGCCATATAGAGCAAAAAAGTGTAGACTGTATCGCACAAGGCCAGTGACATTGCGTATCGACTTCTGTGAAGAGACTGCAAAACTAGTGTAAGTAGAGTTTAATATTCTGTTCATAAATATCTTAAGTGTGAAGTTTTGTTTTGTTTGGGTTTTTTTTTTTTTAGAATAGATTATGTTTCAGCAAGAACATAGAACCAGTTTTCCAAATGTTAGTTGCTGTTTCTTCAAACAGAACTGCTTCCGTAATGATTCTTCCTTTGGTTTGGGTTTTGTCATTCACCTGTTTGATACTTATTTAAAAACCTGTAGAAGTTTATTCAAGTTTCTGAAACTTATTTACTAATGTAATCTATCCTTATGTATTGTTCCTTACAGATGTTCATCTTACTTCTGAGACTCCTTTTCTTGTGCGTGTGGTAGTTACATGCTTACCTGAACTGAAGTTCTGTACCTGTATATAAGTAGCTTTGTTTTTCCCTATTTTTTTTTTCCCTGAACATATTTTGAATTCCTGTTGTGCTTTCCTTATATTCATGCCAGTATTCTAGTCCTTCAAAGCCACAGTGAGGAAAAAAGTTTTCACTGGGGTCTGGTGGTAAAGAATAATGTTTTTGTATCCTTGAGATACAGGGTGCTGTTGTCAGAAATCCTGCCAACTTGAGAGGGACGTGATTAGATCACTGGGAAATACAGCTCTGCAGCAAGAAAGCTGCTTTGATTTGTCATTAAAGAATATTCAAAACTACATGTGGTCATGCAGGTTTTTGTTGGCCTGGTTTGGTTTTGTTTTTTTTTAACTCTTGTTTGAAGGAAGAAATGAGTACCTGACTTCCAATATTCTGACAAAATAAATATTAGCCCATTTGGATAGGAATAGTGTAAGTCTTCAATGGGTCATTGTTGGGAATTACCAGAAAAAGTAGTAAATTGACACATTTTGTTTACTGTGCTCTTCATTTCATTCACTTTTTTAAAGTTGCAGAAAATGGTGAAAAGTGAACTTGATTTTCTGCTGCAGACTTTTCAGTCTTCAGCGCTTCAGTGTTTAAGTGCTTATTCAAAATTGCTCAGTATCTGTTGCATTAGAGGAGTGGATTTTTCCTTTCTTTTTGGGTTATTCTGTTTCATTTGTAACCATATTTTATGTAAGCCATTGTACCTTGACAAAGCAATATTCGGTAATTTTTCATCAGCTCATTTTATTAATGAGCTGAAAAAATATTATCAAGACTGAAGATTTATTCTAATAGGAAGAGTCTGCTAATGTATCTAGTTGGTGTGCCGCTTAAGATCTGGTGTGGTGTGATATAAATTCTTTACCTGCCTCCAAAGTTTGTTTGCTTTTTGTTTTTCCTCGAAACTACTGTTTTAATTTTTTATGATGTTGAAAACTGGTTGTGTTTATTTTCCTAGACCAGCCAAACGATGGGATAGTGCTGCTACTTGGTATTTTCAGAACATTCTCAAAGGTAAATAAAACCTGCAGAAATCGTAATTGGCACTTCTGTTTTTCAAAACATGAACTGTTAGAGAAATGTAGTACTTGTGTTTATATATTTGATTATATTTAAGAATGTTGTGTATTAAAAATAAAGAGCAGCTGCATACAGGTTTTAGGATGGACTGAATAAGACAAAAATACTTGAGCTGCATCTTGAGTACTGTGGGCTTCCATGCTGCATAGTTGACCAGATGGTGTCTGGCTCTTGGGCAGGCTAAATAATGTAGCAGGTAGCACTCGTAACGTGTTTTGAATAGTGCAGCCTTTCTGTGTATTTAGCATAAATCTTTGACTCAGCATCACAGTGGGAGTTTTGTACAGAGATGGCAAGATCTGGCTTAGGAGTTTACACATTAAGTTGTTTTTTGATAAGGATGGAAGCACCAGCTCAGAAAAGGAGCATCTATTACAGTTATTAACAAACAGGTTGAGCTCCAAGTAGTTACTTAATAAGCTAGAACTGCTCTTTTTCTCCTGTCTGTTCTTGTCCCAGTATTTGGTGTTTCAGTAGGTTATCCAGTCTTTTTCATATCAAGCCCTCTGTTCTGCTCACATGCTTTGACCTGAAAACTACCTGCTTACTCACAAGTAGAAAAAACTCCACATAAAACGTATTTGGGAAGGAGAGGATGAGTTTATGAAAGTAGTAAAGGGTCTTTAGACTGATAATTTCACAAACTAACTGGGACATAGCAATTCTTACTGTTTACTTCCCTTCCCATTTATGTGTCACTGTGCAAAGTAAAGGTTAGTAGGGAGCAATAACTTCATCAATAGCCCCAGACTATATCATAAGTAGTAATACATACATTTTTTTGATTGCTAGCACATCATTATTGTATGCAGAAATGCTTCAGAATTTACAAACAGAATTTTATCAGGTTTGTTTGCTTGAATGAAGAGCCTAGCCAAGCTATAAAACCATGCAAATGTAACTGCTTTCGAGAAAAGTAATTACCAAGTTTGGAAAGTACACATTTGTACTACAGGTTGTCAGAGTCTAAAAGATAAACTAAGACATTTAATGTAGAACCAAGTCTAGTTTGTGGAGGTCATTAATCTGTTTTGTCTCTCAGTGTTCCTTCAAAGACTAAGGCAAACTTCATTTTTATATTTTTAAGGTTTTATTACTGTGTTTCTTTATTTTTTCATTTAAAAGTTATTACATTTGTGTTAGCATCTCTAAAAAAATAGGTTACACCTTTAATTATGATTTCTATTTTTGTCTCTCTTCGAAAGTACAAGTGAAAAATATTGCTAATTTGATTGGGGTTTAATCTTTTTACTTGTTCTTGTGTTTATTACTGTATTTAGCCACTACCCATATGAAAGCCAAGTTATGTGCCATAGAAGATAACACATTTGATGTTTTTCTTTATGTGACAATAAAAGATGAAAAGGTAAAATACTTACTTATCTACAAACCTATTCATGCACTTCGCTGTGTAAGTTGTAACTTTGCTATTTAAGACTGAAAGGCATTATTTTCAAGTGAGTTCTGTAATTTTGGTCAGATACAGTAAAACCTAAATCATAACTAATTAGGAGTTTTGGCTTATACTTCTGTTGCTTGTAAACTTCTGGACGAATTCCTAGAGGCAGAAATCTCATTTTATTTAGTGTGAATCTCTTTCTGGAAGGTATTGACAGGCAATTGGAGTGAAGTAAGTACTTCAAATGGACAACTATGCAAATTATTTAGTGCACTTTTTTGCACGTTTTTGTGGTATCATGCTTAAAGATGCTTCAGTAATGCGGTTGCATAGTAGTATAAAAATAAATAGAAGTTCACGCTTGCTTTTGCATAAGACTGAGTCGTCAAACCTTTGCGGGTCAGGGAGAACCAAACCAAACCTAGTTCCACTTGCCAAAATGCGTAACTTGTGCTAAATCTCCGCTGTAGCTACTGTCAGACTTAAGCAGCTGTATGGTAGATAGAAGTGAATGTATCTGAATACTGCTTCTGTTTGGGAGTGCTTTACCAGGGCTTTTAACATCGGAGCCATGGTCTTAACTTTCAAGATACATACTCCTTTTAGTATCTTTTTTATTGTGATTATTACTGATCTCTCAGCCAGTGGAGTTGAAGTTTTAGGTTTGGTATTCCTTCATTCTGCCAGAATTTGATGCACACTGAATCAAAAAGAAATAAACCAGTTTGACTGACTTAGAGGTTGGTTGTTATTTGGTTGCTTGGGGTTGGGTTTTTTTTGGGTTTTGGTTTTTTTGAGGTTTTTTAAGGATTATAGAAAACATTAATTAAGGCAGTAGCATGAAACCAACAGCTAATTAGAACCTGTTTAGAGAATGTACAGAAAGATAGGACTGACCTTCCTATTCTTGAGTTAATATTCTTCAGAAAACAATCACTGATACTGTTTATGTCTTAACACTGTTGTTTACAGCTTCAGATAAATTTTAAACTAGTATGTGGTGGTGTAACTTACTGTTTATTCATGCTGATCAGTGAAGATCTTGGGGTTTTTAGGTATGCGTTAATGATGATCTTGTCTTGAAGAACTTTGCTCGTTTTGAGGAAGCTGAAGAGAATACAGGGAGTTCTGCAGATTATCAGGAGAACGGAACATCATTAAATGCTGAGAGTCTTCCAGTGAAATTTGTTAGTCGTTCGCTTGCTTTCCAGCCAGTGCTGTTTCAGGAGAAGATACCAACAGATCCTGGAACAGGTGGGAACCATGTGTGTGGGGAAACAGTCAAACAAGCAATGCATCATGTGTCTTTAATTGCATATATTGACATGGAACTACTGTCTTGGTTCGAATCCATCAACTGGATCCAATGGTATGCTGACAAACAATGCTTATATATAAAAATTTGCAAAGATGATCATACCAGATGCAAGAATACTGTAAAGCTTTTGTGCTCTATGGCAAGGGAAGGCCAAGGTTGAGTTACACTGGCATTAGTTAATATGCTTACTAGCACTGGATATTACTGAAATTACTCGTGGCATTGATCAGTGATGCGTTACTGGGTTTTTTTTGAGTTTGGTGGGTATATTTGAACAGAGCTACTTCTAACACGAGTGTTTACTTTGAGTTGTCTCACAGTGATTCAAGTCTGTTTACAAGTACGCAACTTCCCATCTTCCATCCTTGTGTCCACTCAGCTCATCTGCACAGTTATCTTTACATAGAGATAACTAGGTTTTGGTTGGTCTTTTGCCATTGGGAAATAATACAAACAATTAAACAAGTCAGTTGTAACCCACTGTAAGTAAAAATGCTGGCTTTTTATGTGTTCAGGTGATCAGAAATGTGTATCTGTGTTTTTTACTTCTACTAGGTCTTGCTGTTTCTAGTTCGTTCCTTGAAGACACACACCAAAGGTTAAGCACAGATCAAGATGAAAACACTGCGCCGGTTAAGTACTGTGTTTCGTATTGAACTGTCAAAAGATGAACTAAATTAAACACATAGGGTGGGTTAGGAATCCTGTAGTCATCAGGCTTGTTTGTTCTTCTGTGTAACTTAGATCCGAGGGACTGGACTATTTCTTGATAGGGGTGAAAATATTTTACTTCAATTTGTTTTTTTTTTTAATTGCAGAAACTTAAAAAAATGTATTACAGTCCTTGAAATTTTTGTGCCTCCTTTTGCACTCCTTTGCTATGAAGATGATAGTTGTCTGCATTACACAGTTTTCTCAATATATAAAAATGTAAATTTCAGTGATACCCTGAAAACAAAGCAGTCGTTATGCTGTACCATGCTAAACAGTCTTTGGAGTCTTTTCTTATTTGTTAAGTTGTGTAATACTTCAAATATCTAATCTAGTTTCTTGCTGTTTTCTTGTTTTGTTTGCTATTCTTTTCTGAAACGCTTTCAGAAGGTCAGTACTCATTCTTGAATGTTACATTGTGTACTGAATTGCACAGTTGGAGCTATTACAGTGTCCACGGGGGGGAAAGGAAAATCATCTGATAGATTCTAGGCACATAATCACTGTAGAGTGTACGCCAGCAGAGCTCTTTCAAAGAGCCTGTGTGCTGTTCCATGTTGTCATCTTCTGGATGCTTTAAAGGAGAAATTTGCTTTTATGATAGCAATGGAGCTATCTGTTGGGTCAGGGGGAAAAAGGAGTTTTACAGAAGTTATTTTTTAGCTTGCAGAGAATTGAAGGGTGGCAACCACTCCTGAACTTAAACTGTATACCTTATTACAATATTTTTGTAAGAATTATGTGGAAAGTAGTAGTGTAGATTGTTACAGAAGCAGAGCAGGATTACCTTTATAGCCTCCTGCAGTCAGCCAAGGAGACTTTACCAGCCACTTGAGTGATGCAAATCTTTGGCCAAGTCACATCTTGTCCATTGGTGACTGGTAACTAATGATGAACGCTAGAAAATCCCCTGTCGAAAATCAGGCATTTTTGGGGTAACTCTGAATCCTGTATTTGCTATTGGTTGCTCCCTTGAGGATTTGTAGTGTTGTTCAGTTTAAGTTCATGTGCATTGTTTTTGTAAGTGTGGACTGGGTAACCTGCTTTTGTTTTTTCTTCAGTCAGTGGCATGGAGATTTCCATGATTTTTCTTAGTTTTGTTGTAAAAACGAAAAGGTTTAAAAAGTAATCGGCGTGTGTTCATACTAGCTCAGGTCTCCAGTTACGACTATAGGTTGAGATGTGACCATGAACCAATTTATCTTTTGTGTGGGTGATATCCTTATTGCATGTTTGATTCTTAATTAGGAAAATACTGTACTGTAACAAGATAGATGGCGTTCTGAAGTTTGTTTCATTAAACATCTTGCCTTATTCAGACAAACTTTAAATTTGTACAAAAATTCTCCAAAATGTTTGGAGAATCCTAGAGTTAGGTAGAAAAACCACATTCGACTCAATAAAGAAAAAGAATTTCTAAAATGTTGCTTTTGAACAGTATTTTTGTGCTAAAAAGTGTTTACCCTTTCTTGGTAGATTATCAAAGCAATTCCAGATTTGCCTTTCAAGGAAAATACAGAAGTTCACACAGACAAGTATGGTGCAGTGTGTTAAGTATTTTAAATGGTTATATAATCCAAGAATTAGGACCTGTAGTATGTTTCCAGTTTATTCTCAGGCAGCTAAAAGGGTGGAGGGTAAGAGAAGATACTACACACGCTTTTAGGGATTAAGGAAATTTGAAGCTGTTGATACTTACCCAGACTACAGTAAGAATAGTAGTTCTTTTTAGACAATAGCTTTGATGGGGAAGTATTTTTCTGCAAACTAAATGTGTTAAATTGCTTTATTCTTAGTGTGGTTTATAAAGTTTTCAAACTTCATGGAATATGATTTGTGCAAAGCTTTTTCTATGCTGCATGTCAGTTGATGAATATGTAATGAACCCAAGCCCTGTTTCTTTTAATGCAGTTTTTAACTGATGCAAAGCTGTATTGTCTTTTTGGGTTTTTTTTTAACTTCAAGAAACTATTTTATAGTCCAGTCTAATTCTCTTCTAAAGTTGGTGAATCCACCAGTTATCTTTGTGTTAAAAAAAAAAAAATCAAAATCCTTAGGGTTATTTTCAGATGCCTGAAAACTAATACTGAATTCTATTTTGAAAATGGTACTGTCTGATTTCTTCTTTCATGTTCGAGGGTTTTCCTTCTTGGCATAAGTAATTCATCAGAAATATTTTGAATGAATTGCTTCATGACATTTTAGAAATACTTGTGATATTTATAAATTAATTTTGCTTTTGCATTTATGTTGGATTTGGTATTTGCGTGGTTTTCTCAGGCTTCAGCAGTGCTTAAGTTCTAAGCCTCTGAAGACACATGTGATTGAAGATGACCAACAGGTATTTCAAGGACTTTCATTTAAACTTCACCTTCTTTTGTGAAATGTGTTGTGTGTTTGTGGAAGGTTTGTGGAAGGTTGTGGTGGTGTTGGGGCTGCAGGGCTGGTCTTTGTGTGGTCTTTGTGGAAGGAGGTAAGGGGCTAATTCCAGCTGCATCAGTGACAGTACCCACTGTAGGCCAAAGCTGAGCCAACCAGCAAAGTTGGTGGTAACTCTGTGAAAACATGTTTTAAGGGCAAATAATAAAGGGGAGGGAACAAAAAATGGGAAACGGAGGCAGTCCTAAGGTCAGAAGAGTAGGAGGAGTTTCATACTGGAGTAGGTATACCTGAAGGGACTGCAGTCTGTGGAGGACCCATACTGGAGTGGATGGAAGAAGTGAGAGGGAATGAGCAACAGCGGGAAACTGCCATGTTCTGTCTGCAGTCCCAGCCTTGCAATGCTCATTGCCTCAGTGGTGGGACTGACTGATGAAAAGAGGAGCCTGACAGGAGGGGAGGAAAGGTGTCTTCCTGAAATCTGTGAATGTTTGTTTCTTTGGGTTTGTTTTCCAATAACTAAATCAGTATTCAGGTATTAATTGGCAACAAATGGAAGTTAACCTGAGGTTGAGTCTGATTTGCATGTATCAGTAATTAAGTAACAATCCTGCCTGGACCCAGGAATCTTCTTGCTGACTCTTGCTGTTTTTCTCCCCCGTCCCTCTGGAAGAGGAGAATGAGAGAGCAAGTGGCTGTGTGGGTCCGTTGCTGTGAGGCAAGGGCAAGTCACCACAGGAAATTTTACTAGTTGTTTTTTAATTGTGTTTCAATTTTGTTATAGCTGACTGCTAGCTGTACGCAGAATATCTAGTGCATTCTCTTAAGTGGTTTAAGACAGTTGTGTTGAGACAGTCTTGATAAATCTTTCTATAAGAAATAACTAATAATGAGCATTTGTCTCGCCACTAGCCTGTATAGCTTGGCCATATGTAAGAGTCATTTAAATGTATTTATAGGGGTTTTTGCCTATTTTTCATCAAAATACCTTTTTTTAAATTAAGCAAATGTTTTTTAAGTCATGTGTAAGCTAAAACACTTTTGTTAAGTGTTGCCTTTGTCGTGTGTCATGGTTTCAGAGTTCTCAAAATCTTAATGAAGAAAGAAGCTTTATCTTTCTTAGCAACAAAATTGAGCCATCATCAAGTCTGGAAACAGCACCACTTTTTCATGAGCTCAAAAAGGTAATGCTAATGTAATATATTAGATTGAATCTCTTTTAAGTCTAGTATCGTACCCCAACTTCACATACTAATTATTACAGTAATACCTCATTTTGATGGAGGAATGTTTAGGAAGTTTGTGTGGTTGAATAAATGAAGCTTCAGAGAGATGCTGTAAGAACTGTACATATTTTCTTCTGGTATATCAACCACTGGCACAAGTCAGGAGATTCAGATTTTAATACAATGAATTCAACCCAGAAAGACTTTTTTCATATTGCATGTTAAGGACATTTATCATGTAAGTCAAAAGCTTTTAAATCATAAATGTTGTGTTTTGTTAGGGTTTCAAGTACACAGTTTTCATGCGGAACTCTATTCTTCTCTTTCTGTAGGAACTTGCTCGGAAAAAATTTTTAGGCCCTAACTTCACAGAATCTTACTGTTGGCCTTCAGTAGCTCGAGGATGTGATGTAGTTGCCATCTCATATCAGGGAAATGATCCTTTCGTGTATATTCCACCACTGCTTACTTTATTGCAGTTGAAAAGTTGCTACAAAGCCTTGACAAACAAGAGTGGAGTATGTATATGTTGGAGTAGTAACAGGTTTTCTGATGTGCACATGTAGAATAATGATCTGAAAGGCTGTGCATGTTTAGAAAGTACACATTTAATGGGAACTTATTGGGTGATCTCTGTAATTTCATGATGCTTGCCGGTTTAAATAAGCCCTTTGCTTAGAGCCTTACAGAGATGGACCACATGAATGTGGGAGTTTTAAACTTACTTATCAAGTAATACTTAACAAGTGGTTAATGTCATATCACTTTGATACTTTAGGAAACTTTGCTTTAAGGGGATAGTATGTAGTAATATAATTAAAAATTGTATTGGCTGTTCTAAATACTGTAATTCATTTTTCTAAATTTATTAGATCACAGAAACAGAATTACTGAGGTTGTTAGGGACCTCTGGAAATAACCAGATTCTGAACTCTTGTCTAATACTATGCCGTAAAACTTTCTATGTGTGTATGTAGCCACTAGCACTTATTTTATGTCCTGGGTGGAAGAAGGCACAACTTGTTTTTGAGCTGCTGAAAACATACGAGAGATGCTCCAGACAGTTTCATCCGATGTTGATAATACTTGGGCAGAACAAAGCAGCAGCTAGCAGTGTGAAAATACAAGGCTGTAAGAATATTTTCTATCTCAGTTATGCTTGAAAACAATGTGGGCTGCTTTAATCACAGGAAATTGTGAAAGAAGCAATTTACGCTTAAGTTTCTTGTTCTATAAAGTTGTAATTCTGTTTCTTTAATGGTATATTTCTGTAGTGATATTTAACATTACGTGGTACTGAAGCTGATTGAATATCTGTGTGTTCATCATCTTTTTGGAAAGTTTTGAGTAATAACAGTTTTGAACCACGTTAGTGGTATGGTTTGCTGAAGATCATGCTGCATAAGGATTAACCATGGACTGACTTGACTTAGAACCAGATTTATAATAGCTTTATTGAGCTATTATAATGAGCTATTATATTGAGCTATTATAATGAGCATCCGTTGCTGGACAAAGGTACTGGGTCTGTCAGGGATGGAGTAAATTCTCTTCAGAGTCTGTATGGTCCTGTGTTTAGAATTTGGAACGGATTTCACTCATTCAAAAACTCGGAGTTTTACCAACAAAGGTGTCGAATACATGCAGGGGTAGAAAAATGCAAACAAACTAAAAGTGACTGTTAACCAGAAGTCAGAAAATGGAGTTCAGTTCAAAAAAAAAAGCCCTCTCAACTTATGGCGCATCTTGAAATGCAAATGTAGCCTTTTTAATAGAACTACTAGCTCCTATAATATCTTACTAATACTTTCTCAAGTTGTAAGTTTATGTTAACAGTATTCCTGCTTGTAGGTGAAGTAATTGTGACTACACCGTATAGCTTCCTGAGACTGTTCGAACATCACAATTTATTTTGTCGACTTTGCCATCTTGTTCTTGATGAGGTGGAGGTGCTGTTCTCTGATGCTGCTGAACAGGTAAATGGCTAATATATTCAGTTGGTAAAATGTTGTTCCAGTTGTGCACAAGTTGTGAAAACAGTGGCACATACTGGAAAAAAAACAACTTTCCTGAACCCCTGTGGTAGGGTTGAGGAAAAAACTGGAATTTAAAAAAAAAAAATCATATCTGTATACTTCTGGCTGAGTGAAACACTGGGAAGGTGGAGATGTCATCTATTAAATGTGACTTTGCCTGCCTTGCTATACTTGTCCTTTTTTTGACTTCTTGACTTGGAGAGCTCTATTTTTTCTTGTTCTTCACTGCTGCTCTTCTGTGCTGTGTTCCTTTGCTGTGGATGGTTTCCCAAGGACTTACTTTCTTTTTTCAATTTAGTAGCAGTAGTTTTCAGTGCAGGGATCTTAAATCTACTTGAAAGACTTGTATCATCTGTGTGCAAGGAACTTCTGTCTTAACACTTGTCCTGGGTTCAGCTACAGCAGTCATTTTTTCTCCTTCTTCGTAACTGGTGCAGTGCTGTGTTTTTGACTTTCAGTCTGGGAACAACGCTGATAACACCGATGTTTTTAGTTGTTGCTAAGTAATATTTACTCCGACCAAGGACTCTCAGTCTCATGCTTTGCCAGGGAGGAGGGGAAACTGGGAGGAAGCAGAGACAGGACACCTGACCCAAACTGGCCAAAGGGCTATTCCATACCACAGCACGTCATGCCCAGTATAGAAACTGGGGGGATTCACCTGGAAGGCCCAGATCGCTGCTCGGGTCGGGCTGGGTATCGGTTGGTGGGTGGTGAGCGGTTGTGTCCTTTTCCCTTGTTATTCCTCTTATCATTATTATTGTTGGTAGCAGTAGTGGTTTTGTATTATACCTTAGTTACTGGACTGCTCTTATCTCAACCCGTGGGAATTACGTTCCTCCGATTCTCCTCCGCATCCCTCTGGGAGCAGGGGGGAGGAAGAAGTAGGGGGAGTGAGCGAGCGGCTGCGTGGTTCCGAGTTGCCAGCTGTGCTTAAGACCACTGCTGTTAGAACAGTTTCAGTTCAGGAACCATCTTTATTGATAAGCTTCTCAGTCTCTGCAGAATGAACGGCAGAAGTAAATGATCAAATAATCTTGGAAGCAGTCATAAAAATCTTCCCTTAGGCCCTAAAGTCAGTGCAGGCAAAAGCAGAAGCTGATCCCAACTCAGAGAATCTTAGAAGAAAAGCAGCATTAAGTTTCATCGTGACAAGGATGTATATATATTGTATAAGTTTTAAAATGCTGACTTGTGGAATTTTCTCAAACTTGAATTAGATTATTTTTTTTTTGTTGCTTCTTTCAGGCTTTACTTTCTGTTAGTATTAAGCACATTGGTAAGCAGAAAAGGCTTACACACCTTTTTTCACTGTCACAGATTATTTTTTTAAATCATTAACTTATATTACGTGTTTAAAAGTTGGTAAGACTAAAGGACTGTGTTTCTAACTGTGAAAAGCTGGAGAAACATCTTAATAGAGATAAGATTGCCCAATTTGCTATATGTGGAGCTGTTAAGTGTGCCTTTGTAGCAGCAGAGCAAGTCATAAATTAGATGAAATGTCATCCTTATCCAGTGGGGCATTCCTTTTCTTTGTTTAGGCTGGGCATTATGTTGTGAACCTCTTCTTCTTGAGGCGGAGCGCAGGTAGTTTGTAAAATACTGTGTATGTTATCTGCTATTCTTGTAAGATCTTCTCAGCATCTTAAAAGCATCAGTCTTGACTAGAAAAGAGAAACATTCAGAGGGAAGTGATAATTTGATAATGTTTGGGTTATTGTGGCTCTTCTAAAGCATTGTGTTACAGAAATGTCATATTGTTAAGAACAATCCTGCCCTGGCACTCAACAGTGCCAGTTTGAGAGAGATGTATTACAAATTTGGCAGACCCCTTGAATACTTCTTAGTATCTTAGTATGGTAGTGCTTTGCCAGAAATCCTGATGTTGTTCCACAGCTGGACTGCTTGTCACTTAGGTCAGACAACGTCATCAGGAATATATTCATTCTTAGTGATTTCCCCCACCCCTCAACCCCGCCCCACTTTTTTTATAAATGATTTTATGGTAACTCCCCCTTCAAGGAGGGAACTGCATTGGCAAGTTCACTTATCTTCTGTTTGCCTCCTAGTTTTTGCTGACTGCCTCTGACGTCTTGCATATACTTTTGCCTAGGCTTAGTATTTTTTCAGATTTGAAAAGATCATTTTCCTGAGATTTTCTTCTTCTCTGGGCGCAATCCACTGTGTGTGTATATGCTGTTGCTTCATGCTGTTCTGCTGCTTTCTTCTCGCTTTAGAAGTTGTTCAAATAATAGGATACAAGTGCACAAACCGAACACTTTGGTTTTGGATGTAAAATGTGTGGTTTGCTCTGGTGGTGGTTTTGAGACTGGAAAAAGCAATGTGCTGAAAAAGTTTACTTTCCATTGTTGTTACATACTCTCTGGAACAGGATAAGAGAGTAGAAAAGAAACCTTTTTTCTTTACAGGTTTTTACTATATTAGATTGTTACAAGAAAGCCAGTGTTAGTGAAGAGTGGGAGTATTCACTGCATCAGATCATTGGTGTTGGAACTCGTTGGAATGAACACATCACACGTTTGATAAAGGAGTTTATGAATGATCCTTATGTCGTGATAACAGCAGTAGAAGAAGCTTCCATCTATGGAAATGTGCAACAGGTAAAAATTTGGGTATGATGTCACTTTGGTAACTAAGATGTTTTGCTGTTTGTACTAATCAAGGTCAGTATAGGTGGTTGCTGGTTGTTTAAGTGGGTAGTGCTGCAGTCCTAACTGGGACTGTTCCAGTGCACCTTCCATGTATGAACTGAAGTGATTCTTGGAAGACTTCTGCAGGTTAGTCACTGGAAAAGCTGAAGGTGTTTTGCCTTCTTTGTAGGACTGAGGTGAAAGTATTCCCTCAAGAATCTCATTGTTTATGAAAACGAGTCTGAATTTTATGTGAAGTATTTGCAAATGGTATAGTTCATGACCAGAATTTTATTGAGTGTTTTTACAATTTTTAGTTTTGTGATGGTTAATCAGGCAGCGGCAGAACTACAAGGTAAGTTCTCTCAAGACAGAGCTAGTAAAATTCTTACTGTACTGCTGTGTGCAACACAATACAGAACTTAACTTGACCTATAAATTTCCAGAAAGTGATTACATGTTCTTAAGTGTCTTCTCATTTAATTTCCAGTCAATGTGGTGTAGCCCTTAAGAATTATACAGAATACTGTAACTGTGATCTGAATTATTCTGCATCTCAAAATGTAATAATTTAGGGATTGAGAATGTTGGGAAATCCCTAAGACTAAGCATTCTGAGCATGTCATGAATTTGAAAAAACACCACCTTTTGTGAGAAGTCTAAATAATGGTTTGACAAGACTGAAATAATATCAGTGTTTTGATGCTTTTCAGTTACTAAAAGTATTTCAGGTGGTGCAGAATGCTATTCTGTGTGCGAGCAGGTGTGAGGCTTTTTTAGAAGTACTTGAAAATGCCAAATTTAGATTGATAATTCACCTAAAACTAAATGAAAAACCTTACTATGGGATTTTGATGATGTGATAGATTTTAATTACACATACCTCGTGGAGAGTTGAATCTTAAAGACAAAATATACCACTTACTGGTGCTAGCATTTATTAGATTCACTTTGGTAGACTATAACAATGCTTAGTGCTTATTAAAAGGAAGAATTAGTAAAATATGTATAGATTACATTACTTATCAGCCCTCTGTTTTGTATCTCTTTCTAGGTTGTGCAACCTTGTGTGAACAGTGAGAGAATTGCTGTGTTACTCAAAATACTGGATTTTACCCACAGTAATCCTCAGAAGGTGCTGGTATTCACTAATTCAGTAAACGAAGCAGATGTTATTCATGAGGTAAGAAAGTATTTAAGATGAAAAGTGTTTGGGTCTTTCTTAATTGTCAAGTTATAACAAACTTAAATATCTTGTCTTCTGAGAATAAATAGGAAGAGTGTGAATAAAGGAGGAATGTGCATTTGGAAGTTAATAATTTCTGCTAAAAATAGCCCCAAAACACTGCCCTTCTGCCAAGCAGAAGACAGTCTGGCAGATGGGAGTGTCTGGCAGAGACCGCATTCATTATTCAGTTATGCACTGTGTTCTGTCTGTCAGATTGGAACTTTGAGTTGATCAGACGATCTTTTTTTCCGTTAAAAGTTCTGTCAGTTTTCTTAATTTCCTTTACTGTTTCCAGGAGTCATGCGGGAAAACTTAATCCACCATATTAAGAAGTTCTGCTCTGTTGCTTTCTACTCTGGAGTAGTTGAAATTTAGACAACTGTCTGTGATGTGAAAGGAACATTTTCTGTCATTCTCTGAAAGTACCAGAATTCAGTTAAGCTTCAAGTTGTAGAGAGTTGGGAGGAAGATAGCATGCTTATACATGTATTTTCTTAAAAACTGGTGTAAAACTGCCAAAAGTTACCTACAATAGAATATGCTCCATTTTTATACCTTTTTTGTGAGATTGTATACTCAGCATTTCAGAAATGGAAACTAGGACTCCTACAGGTGTTCTTTCTTCAGACATTATAACAATGAATATATGTAACATAGCAGTAGAAAAAAAATCTCTTCTGTGCTTCGTCTCTGCTAGTTCTCTAACAGTGCAAAGTAGGAGGAGTGAAATCTGATTTAACTGGGAAGCAAGAGACTGGAAGCAGTTCTGTTAAGCCTGAATAGGGTGATGCAGATGATGGGATGATACTGCTAAAGGTGGCAAGCTATGAGGATATTTTGACTTTAAATCTTTAATGATAGTTCAGGGATGGGATAACAAAAGGATATGGACTGGATTGTTCAAATGTCATGAGAAGACATGTCAGTCCTGAAACATGGAATGTATTCCCTTCCAAAAGCTGCAGTAGATCCTGTGATATTTAAAGAATTCTTTTTATGTAAATGTTTATGTATTGGAATGTTTAGCCTTTGACTATAGTTAATGGAAGCAAATCTGGTTTGTCTCATAACTGTGACATGTTTTGCTTGAATATTTGAGGGTTAATTTCTTCAAGCATATCAAAACCAACCCCACCACCACATAAAGAGAGTGTTTGCTGATGCTAAAGAAGCATTGAAGCTCTTTGTAGTAATCCTGTGTACATCAACTTCAGATATCTTAAATGGTCTACAGAAATTTTTTAAATGTTTAGTTCATTCCTGTTTATCAAATAATGAAGGATTTTGTAGTGATTAATTTGTGAACCTGGAACTTGAGAAATACATAAAGCCTTTGAGAATACTACGTCATGCAAAGTAAGTATGGGTAGATCAGTGAGGAGTTTTTAATGGTTTTTCTGAGAGACTGAAAAATGAAGCCTGCATGTTGCTAGAATCTTCTTAGAGAGGACATCTTAATGGCAGGAAAGCTTCTGTTTAATGTATTAACCCATGGAAATCTGAGCTTTTAGTTTGTTTTTATACAGGAAATGAATAAGATGAAAGTCCATAATCTCAAATTACTTTTTTTTCATATTAACAACCTAAATTTCACTCTTTTTTCCAAGTCTGTCTTTACAGTAGCTAAGGTATGCTAGATACTAGTAAGATACTGTTTATTAGTTTTAGAGCAGTTACTGTTCTACTGGAAGAATGTATAACTTTTTACTTTGTCATCCAGGCACTGAAGAGCAACTCAATATTTTCCTTGAAAATACATAAAGAGAGCAATTCCAAGTATATCTTAGAGCAGTGGACAAAAAAGCATAGTTCTGGCACTCCTATTCTGTTAGGTGAGAGTTTTTGTCGAGTGATTATGTCTCCATGGTCCCTCGTGGTTCTGCACTAAGTACTTACACTAGGTTATTTCATCACCTCCACAAGGGTCAGTTCCCTGTGAATTCTTTCTAGTTATCCTTTTACTTACTAGTGCTACAGCTGCTACAGCTAGCCTTTTTCTCTTTTTTTTTTCTTTTTTTTTTTTCTTTTTTAATTTTTTTTTGTTGTTGCTGTTGCTGTGTCCAGGGTTTACCTGAGGCAACGTAAAGGAGGGGGATTTTATGCATTAGTTAAAAGAACTACTAATACTTTCAGAGAGTTTCCATGATTTTACAGTTAACTCCTACTGCAGAGGATATATCAGTTTGAGATCATTCAGCACCTCTGAAGACTTCCTGTAATAATTTCCCATGCATTCTGGTAGAATTGTATTTTTCAAGTTGCTTACAGTAGCAAAGATTCTTACCCACTTTCGAACTTAATTTTTGTCATGTTATACATCAAAAGCAAGAAGATTGACTTAACATCTGTTTTGCAGGTTCATACAAAGGTCTTAGCATTCCTG